CAGGCCCGAGAAAGAAGGGCCTACGAAGGGCGTATCTGCCTCCCTGATAGGGGGACACAAAAGCAAGATCATAAAAGGGAAATTTGAGGTCAGTAGGAGGAAAACTGAAGGCGTGAAACAGTGCTTACTCCTGCGGGAGATGTGGGGTCTGACGCAGGCGAGAAGCAGCCTTCACCTTACTCACTTATTCGGCATGTTTTTATCGTAAACATGTTCTGTGCCCGGCAGCGGGGAAGCAGCAATGAAGAAGACACACGAGTTCTCAGTCTCCGAGGCTTCCCTTTCTCATCAAGGAGCCAGGCAGTGAGCACTCAAACAACAACAACAACAAAAAGAGCCTGGTGTTTTTAATCAGGGCCTGTGATAGAAAATAACGGAGCAGCGGAGCCGCTGCCGAGGCTTCCAGGAAGAGGTGATGTTTAAGCTACACCCGAGGGAACAGAGGCTCCAGCCTCGGGAAAATGGGGGACCGCGCTCCTGGCACAGAGAGCAGGAAATGCTATGGTCCTGAGGCAGCAAGTTGCTCAATGAGTTTTAGAAACAGTCAAATTGCCAGTTGGAGCTTATGGAGCAAGAGAGAGTATGGTAGAAGCTGAGGTTGGAGAGAAAGGCAAGCCCCAAACCACATGGGCACTTAAAGGAGTTGGTCTTTTATTCTCACATGATTTTTTCAGCCAGAAGAGGTCATCAAGGACCTAAATGCATATCAATAGGGACAAATTATAAATTCTACCAAAAAGATGATAGTTGGAAGCCATGCAAAAAGGCATCACATCAGCATGTGCTTTAGAAACTCTGTAAATGGAGGTTCTCATTTTAAGATAACTTGAGCAGAAAACATAGCACAAAAAGCCCAGTGCAACTCACAGCCTCATAAATGCAAGTAGAGGAAGTCCATGCCCCACTTCCAGGAGTGAGTACTAGAAACCGGTTGTACCCTGGAACAAAGGATGCTATGATACTGGAACATCTCAGAGGGCCCTAGGCTTCACTACGCATTTCTGAATTTGAGGCTGTGGCTGAGGGAAGTTCGGCCAGGAGGAGAGCACTTACTGAGTCAGGATCTCCTAGATCTAGAAAGTGAGAAGACGAGGGCCATGTTCCAATGAGACATTCACTCTGTGCGTGGGGTTCACCCGAGACGAAGCCAGCTAGCATCCAGAACACGCAACTTGTTCTCACGCTTTGTGCGTTTGGAAAGAGAAATCACAACTGGAAACATCTCTAAATATTATCGCTCAGCAATAATACGACCATGGAAAGAAGTGATGGAAAGAAAATCATGAGTGAGAAAAGCATGGGCAAGCAAAGTAGAGCCCCAAAGGAAATTTAAAATTTTACAATCAGCATTTGGTAAAGCCTGAGTATTAGTAGATTTATTTTAAAAGGGAAAGCAATTTCATAGGATCATGTCATGTTGAAGCTATAGGTTTTAAATATATATATTCATTTATTTCTTCCTCCCTCCTTTCTCCTTCCTTCCCTCCTTCAACAGTGGATGTTTGAGGCCATGCTAAATGGCCTTTGAAGACCAATCTGTAGATGAGTCACTTTTCTCATTAGCCTCCTTCATGGCACTATTCTCTGCGACATCCTTTGCATTGTAATCCGTTTTACTAAATTCCAAAGAATTCCCCATTGATCAGAAGTAAAGCTTCTTAGGAGTAGGCTAATGCTGATTCGCTGTAGCTTCTATTGGACTCCATATAAGAGCTTCCTTACAGAAAGTGAGAAAGGGGGAATCCAGTTTTCTTTAGCTTTCATTTCTAACAGTCCCAGGGGTTCAAATGAGGCCTCTGTGACTTGCTGTGACACAAGTATTTTTGTCTGGGACGCTTGAAGGACTGGACAGTGACGATGCTCCTTTCACTCTCGGTTCAAGTACAGTATTCTGGCCCTGGCAGCAGAGAGGCAGCAGGTGTGTGCTGAGGAATAGCTGGCCATTGGTCCTGGCCAGGGAAAGAGCTTCTTCATAACCGTGGAACATTTCACTCTCCCTTAGCCGGTCCAAGAGCACCTATTTTTGTTTCCTATCCGTGCCCTGGTAGTAGAGCTCAAACTTATTTTGGGTTTGCTGATGACCATACTATCAAGAGGATACCAGTGCCGGGAAGCCAAGAAGCTACAATCTGTACTGTGTTTATGTCTCAAGAATTATTTAGAAGGTTGATTAATCAGCTGTGCCTCTTGACCTTCTAGTATTACACTAAGAAAGGTGACTAACCCTTTCTTGAAAGTCACTTCACTTCTAATAACCCATATAATTCCCTTAACATATGATAGGGGTCAAAGGATTGTCCAGATTGCACTATTAAGTATTGATCCCAGAATGCTTTACTTGTGGTAGGCACACTGAATGATCAACAGAAAGTGGCTCTCATCAGTCATGTGCTGGTAAATGATTAAGAACCAGTTCTCCAGTGTGAAAATACCTGATTTGTAGTATTTGCTGATTTCCATAGTGGAATATTAAGAACAATGTTATAAGTTGAAACAGATGGAATGGAGAGATTCTACAAGATGCAAAAAAAATGACTAAAACTAACTCAAGAAAAAATAGAAAATCTGAAAACTCTATATCTAGTNATTGAAACACTTAGATGGAATGGAGAGATTCTACAAGATGCAAAAAAAATGACTAAAACTAACTCAAGAAANGTTGAAACAGATGGAATGGAGAGATTCTACAAGATGCAAAAAAAATGACTAAAACTAACTCAAGAAAAAATAGAAAATCTGAAAACTCTATATCTAGTAAAGAACTTGAATTCACAATTAAATCTCACAAGAAAACCTACAAGTCCACATGGCTCCATTGGAGGAGCATATCAAATAGGTAAGGAAGAAATGATACAATCATGCACACAGATCTTCAGAAAAGTAAACGAGGGAACACTTCCAAATTTATCTTTTGAGGCCAGCATTATCCTGTTACCAAAATAGAAAAAGACATTATGAGAAAAGAAAACTTAACTCTCATGATAAGGTTACATTATATGGCAAAGGTAAAGTATTTCCACCTGTGGCTCCATTTAGGATTGAAATGGCATCATGCTTATATGGACACCAGACCAAATATAAAACTTTGGTTCTCACCTTACAGAAGCAGATGCCTCATAACCATCTCTCAGGTCAAGGGATACACACATTTCACAGTCAGTCCTCTGAGATCAGACCCAGGATGGAGATCCATGCAGGCCCTGACACATACTTGTGTCTCTTTGGGAATTCCAGGGTCGTGGTTTCCTGGGATGTAGCCTAGAAGAGGAGGGGTGCAGGCTCTGGGTAGACAAGCTACTTTGCCCTGGGATTGCCTCACTCCATGGTGAGGGAGGAGGCTCAGGGTGGCTAGAGGAGGGCCTTCCAAAGCAGGACATCTCAAACTCTTACGTGCATGTGAATGGCCTCAGGTTCTTATCAAAATGCAGGATCAGAACACATCAGGATGGGAGGTGGTATTCTGCACATCTAACAAGCTCTCAGGCGCTGCTGATCCGTGGGACCCCACTTTATTAGCAAGGCTATAAAGCTTGGAGACCAGGTCTGGGAACAGGTAACACTGATAGCTATGACATTTGAAGTCTGTAGTGGAATGAATGAACTAAAATTGTGGATAATTCAAAAAGCATTTATTGTACTTGGAAAGATCCTAATGATAGTTAACCTTAAGCTAATAACATTTTTTTTTTCATCTTGTGCACTTATCAACTGAGTGAAAATGGTTGGCCCGAAAGCAGAATAAATAACTGGGGACCCCAGTCATATTAAACCTATGTCTATAGTCTATATTTGCATATTGTAATGATCATTCAGTACGTTTTATGAAAGAATGAATGTTCACAACATCCTAGGTTTTAAGGGTGATTGTTTTTTTTCAGGCAAGATAACCCATGTCGTAATTGAGATACTTGGAATAGGACTTTGGAACCCATCTGATTACTAGCCTTGAGCCATAACCACCAGAGGTTTTATAAGATGTGGCATTAAAATATTTATTATTTTTATTAATAAAATGTGGAGACATGGATGACTTATAAGAAATGAGATTTCAATTGTTTCTGTTGAATATTCATGCTGCATTTTGTCATTCTCTAGTATTTATTATTTGAGACTTAACTCTACAAAGACTTTGATCCCTCCCTCTGGGGTGGTTCCCTTTTTCCTGCTACATTTATTGAGTATTTACAAAAGCATTCACTTTTTCTTTTAAATTCTATGCTGAAGGTTAAGACTGGGACCATTCATTTCTTTATTCTATCTGAACTTATTATCTCATCATTAGTTTGAAGAAAAATGATAATAAATTGAGTGCTGTACTCTCTCGATGATTATGTTGCTGATGAGTCAAAATCAACCTCTGGAGCCCAGATGAACTTACAAGTTACTCCAAGAGAATTAGGGATCTTCCTTTGCCTTCCATACACCCTAATTCTCAGTGCAGCTAAAGCCCCTGCTTAGACTATATAAATTAATACATTTGTTCGCAGTATGACTTTGGGGCATTTTGTAGCAGTGATTCCAATGTTGTTAGTGGTGAACTAGAAACTTGAGAATGCGAAGATTAATTTAAACCACATGATGGGTTCAAGGCAGAGGGACATCTACCGCAGATTCTTGAATGCGTGCTAACTGTACAGTGCGGAATGGGATCCGAAAACCACCAGTGAACTTTTAAACCCTCGAGAGGAATCAAACCAACCCAATTAGCCCTGGGAAGGAGCCGTTGCAGACAGCAGACAGACCATTCCTCCCTCCCTCCCAAACAGATCCCTCAGCCTGAGAGAACGCAATTGAGAGACCAGGGACAGAGGAGGGCCCCCAACCATTACCACTAATGGCATGAAGTTAGAACTGTCTTGCTGGTCATTAGCTGGTTTACTGATTTGTCTTTCATTATAGATTACAAATGCCGTTGGGTTCTTTGAACAATAGATAATTAACAAATTGTATGTTGTGGATAGTTGGTGAATTGGAAATAAAGGATTTCTTTTCCCTTCCAGTTTGTTGTAGCGGTGTTCTGGATCATTTATGCCTATGACAGAGAGATGATTTACCCGAAGTTGCTTGATAATTTTATCCCAGGGTGGCTGAACCACGGAATGGTGAGTCCATTAAAACAAATGATAACTTCTATTTTTTAAATATCTATTAAGTGCTAACTTACCTTTCCTTAGATGCTCTCTAAATAACTGTGAAATGTTGGAAGGTTATAATGCAGTTATAACCAAAGAATACTGAGTGTAAGTAAAATATGTCTTCCCATGAAATTGAGTCACTATTAAAACTATGTAGTGGATGAATCCACAGTTCATAAGAGGCATCAGTGATGTTAGATAATACAACTGGAATGAACTGTCATCACTGAAAGGCTTACCCGCTCTTGGAGCCTAGGGATCGATTCCCACCTGCACAGCTACTGACACCTGCTCCTCCACTCCCATCAGTGGGGTTGTGTTGGAAGTAGCCGCCTGTTGTACTTGGGGACTTTCCCCCAGGGGAGCAGCAGGGCCATTCTGTTTCCTGGGAGATGGGCATTGGAGGTGTCCTCCGGAGCGGCTGCCTCGTCAGGGTGTGCCCACCCAAGGGCGTTTGCCTGCGGCTGCTAGGTCTTTCTCTTCCTCTCGGTCTAACACTTTCTGATGCTTTCCCCATTGTGTTATCCTCCCAAGTTTCAAATCAAATATGTTGGATGGTTTTCACATCACTTTATACAATTTGAAGGGATATTTTCTGCAGAGAAATTGTGTGTCATCTTCCCTTTCTGCTTCCGGAAAAGAGCACAATTTTGCTATTAACTAAGAAGCCTGCATTTTTTGGTTACAGCAATTTTTAGACTGTCACTGGGAGCTCCTGGTGAAAAGGGCGACCCATCATGGAAATTATAGGGGAGCCAAGAGCTAGAAATAGTGTCTTAGGTCCAAAGTAAGAGTTTTCCTCCTGCCCCAGTTTTGGTATGTTTTAAGAGAAGTGGTGTGTACTAACAAATAAGTATTACTATACTGAATGGCTTTGCTCAATCCTTTTGTAAGCCTCTTTGTCAAAAGTGGTGCATCTCAGAGAACTGGAAGTTTCTTTGAGTCCAGTAGAGCCACACTGTCGAAGGGTTAACGGCACCTCTAGTCTGGTTCCCAAGAAGTCAGCTGAGTCTTACTGGTTCAGTTCAGCCACCTAAGGGGCCTGACCTGGTTACTCTGCTGCCCTTTAACTTTCTACCTTTCTTGATTGTGAGAGCCCTTTCATGACTCCATGTCTTTGCAACCCTCTGCCCCACATGCCTTCCCATCGTTTGCTGGGAAACTCCTGCCCACCCTGCTAGCTGAGATAACATCTCTGAGAAGTCTTGCCCCACTCTCCCAAGTCAAGTTAGCTCTTCTGACATTTGTGCTTGCACAGCACTTTCCTGTGTCCATTACTCACATCTGTATCCCCCACAAAAATGTTACGCTCCCAGTTCAAAACAGCAGCCTTCAAATCCCAAGCGCTCTGCCCGGCTGCCTGGTTTATCATAGAATCAATACACATTTATTAGATTGATGAATGAATTTAGTATTGCCAGTTTCCATAATTCCTTGCCCATCAATACTAACAGCTACTATTTTTGAGAACCTACAGCGTGCCAGGCATTCTATAGTGGTTATATTATTTAATTTTCGCACAGGTACTATGAATGAAAAAGTATTATCCCTTTTACAGATGAAAGCACTTAAGCTCAGAAAGTTTCTGATACTGAAGGGCCTTAGCTGAGAACAATCGGTACATGATGTGCTTAGAAGTACAGCCCTTGACTATTTGGGTCCCTCAACTGCACAATATTACCTTGGGCCAGAGAATGAATCACCACCTTTGCAGATCCTGGCACTATTTAATGTTTCCAGTGAACGGTTTATTGAGCATGTAGGCAGCCATTAGAACTTCAACTTGACTCTCACCGTTTTCCCTTGATTCACTCAGATGGGTTAAAATGCTCACTCTTGGAGGCAACGCCACTTAGAAATGCAAGGCGGATTTCACTGTCACAAATATTCAGGAAAGGGAAAAGATAAATTGATTAACATGTTAATAATTGATAATATGAGCTCCATAGATTCTTTTCCAATGAATTTTGTCTCTTAGTAGAAATAAATGACCATTTCTTTGCTTTTTTTTTCATGTTTCAATTCAAGGTTCCAGAGTTTCAATTCAAATTGCATATGGTGGCTGAGGAATATTTTGCAGTATTAAATAGTTTACATTACTCTAACTTTGTATATATGAAAATTTAAATACAACATGACTAAAGCATGATGCTATTTTAGATTGGCAATTAAAACGTGAATATTAAATGCTGGAATCATGAGTAATTAAATTTTTATAAAATGTGTAATAAGATTTATGAAATTTCAAAAAATTAAATAAGCATTTTCAGCTTTGTTTAAATTTTATTTAAAAGTTTAATAATAATTATAATTTGTATTTGTTTTTAATTTTAATAAACAATTTTGAATATTTAATTTTAGAAATAGAAAAATAATTCAATTAAAAAGTTTTTACATTTATTTTAATCTCATATTTTAATGAAAACATTTAAATTGTGTATACTTTGATTATAATTACTTTTTAAAAAAAATATATGTTTTTATTGATTTCAGATAGAAAGGGAGAGAGAGATATAGAAACATCAATGATGAGAGTGTCATCATTGACCAGCTGCCTCCTGCATGAGGCCCCCTGCTGGGGATCGAGCCCGAAACCTGGGCATGTGCCCTGCCTGGGAATTGAACCGCGATCTCCTGGATCCTAGGTCAATGCTCAACCTCTGAGCCATGCCTCGCCGGGCTATAATTACATTTTATGTTTAATTGATGTTAGATTTAGCTTAGAGTAATACTATCAGTAGATCTCAAATTTTGTAAAAATTTCCATTATCACAACAAATTTCATAAATTTATTGAAGTGAAGACAAGGAAATAAAATTTTGAAACATATTAAGTATTTTTATATTTATATTTGTAATTTATGTCAACTTGTCTACTAATAATCCAATCACATATTTTTCTATTTTGTTTTATGAAAACATTTCTATAACAAGGTAGGATGATAGAAAATTTTTTTAGTACTTTACTAGCCTAATTTGTAACTCCTAGATATTTCTGTAAATGTTTTATGGCCCACAAGACCTGTTTGCTGTTGCTTGTTTAGATTTTTATAACTACAGGAATTCCTAGAGAGAATGCACCCTGCGCTTATTATGTGTACGTCACATTCATTATTTGCAGAGTCTCAATATAATTTCTGGGGATCTGGAGCCCTGAACCACAGAACACAGATGCAGTTTATAAGTCTATCATGACACCATTTCAGAAGACATTATTAAGTCAGTCTTGAAGTCAGTCTTGAATTTGCAGCATTTAAACTTCCCAGCACAAAATTAGTCAGAAAACAAGCATTAAGGAAAACTCACAGAATCTGAAATTGACAGGGTTTTCATTTTGATATACACTAACATTGCCAGAAGTCAGACATGATTCTAACTAGACAGATATCTATCACTTCCTTCCCACTCTCTGCCTGTTTTTTCTCAGCAAGTAATCCTAGAATTTATTTGCAGAAGAGAAGAGGAAATGGGAAAATAGATGAGTTAGACTAGTAATACACCTTTGGTGTGTAACCACTAAGTTATCTCCAGGCTCCATGAAAATGGTCCCAAAAAGAAAGAATCTTAACTTGTTACAATTAAAAATATAAACATATAAATATAGCAAATTTAAACAGAGTCAATTCAATATCAAAAATCAAAACAATGTCTGTCCTAGAAGCCCTATTTATCTTTGTTTTTCCCTCAATTCAAACAACAACATGATGCCCAAAAGGCATTCACCAAGTGTTGATGATAAAAAAGATGTTTGTGCATTTGCTTTTGAAACTTGGAAAAACATCAGGTTTACATTCATATCCTTCTACCACCTTTCTATCTTCAGTCCACTGGGGACTAGACAAAAGAAAACTAGAGATAATATCAGCAAATGACTCTGTTTCTAAAATGCAATGAGAATGGTCATGGACAGTTGTGCAAGTTTTCCACATGGCTGCAATGGGGGGAGTAGGGGAGCCGCACTTTAATTCAATCTAGCAAAGATTTTTTGAATGCCTGTGCTATAGGCACTGGGTGGTTACAGGATGAGAAAATGCTTGCAGTGTTAGAGGATGGAAATGCCAAGTTTGAAGTGGAGGAAGGTAAGTACAAAAACAATTCCACAAGCCAAGAGAGTAGTTCCCAGCAGGCTGTGTTCACTCTCACAGGGAGATGCACTATTGTTGTTCTGGCCTGTTTCTTGGTTGCAAAAATAGAAACCTGAACCTTCCTCTTCTGCTGATTATAGTTTTACAGCATTGCCAATGGAGTAAATATACATTAAAAACAATAAATAAATAAATATTTAAACTCCAGTATGATTGCAGACTCTCACTGATGCTGTAACAGGAAAAAACCAACAATAAGACAGTGTCTCTGCTTACTGAAGACCTAATTAATGTTTATGAAGTGCTTTGAGAATGCCAAGCACTGTGGAAGGTTAGGATATTGTTATTATTACCACAGATCTTTAAGTAGACATGACCTAGATATTCTTATAATCACAGCAGGAGTTGTTCATTCCCCATATAATTTATAAGGAGAGAAAAGAAATAAACCCCACCTCTCTTCATGCTTGAGTTGTCAGTTGTTCTTGTTATATGTAACTGATCCTCAAGAGAACCTTCATTTAGGCAACTATTTATTCTGTTCAGTATTATTTTGACATTTGGTAATTACTAAAGTTTTTGTACATCTGTCTTTCCCAGAAGAAAAGGCATTAAATGCTGCTTGTATGATCACTGGTTTTGCAGGGACTCAGCTTTGACATTATTCTTTTGGTAAATTTCCAGTCCTGGGATATGTAGATTATGCATTCCATTCCCCGTGGAGCCTGTGCCACCCTCATAGTGGATATTTTATAAAAGAAGCTGTTGGTTGAAAGAGGACCATTGTAAACATTCCGTATGAAAAAAACTGACCTTTCTCAATTTTCCCAATGTATTCTAAAGTAGCTAGAAGGTATCTGGAAATTTTTAAAAATAAAAGCTC